TTTGACTGGAGCCCAGACAGGAAAAGAATATAATAACAACTATACAATTCCTGAACGCTTACCCTGGAAGGAAGCATTTGCGTGCAAGGAAACTCCACATTCAGACTGAAGAAGGGTTTAAGTTCAAATCAATCAAACTCATCAAGCTGAAACAAGCAACCAGTTTGCTCGTTCAACTAATCAACCGAAAAATTTACTGTAGGTATAATTCAAGTTAATTATAAGTTAATTGAAACTGAGTAAACAGTAATTTTTTGTCCTCGAAACGTGGTCAATAATAACCATCATTGCCAGAGCACCTTTGCATTCAAAGCGGCCAGTTTTTCTTAAAATCATGGCCCAGTTTTTGATTGATCGGAATCGCTAAATCGGGAGCCCAGAATGGAGCCATTTATTATTGGGCCCATCTACTAAATTGAGCAATAAAACTGGTACTGTGGTGGATTTATTGCATCTAATGGGGTTGGAAGCAATTGTGATCAAAAACTGATTAGTATCAGGGCCGCAATTAGTACCTACTTTTCCTTTTACCACAACAATTGCAAAACATGTTATTATGCATGGAAAAAGTATTTTAATGCACCATATCAACATATATGTTGGAAGGTTAATGAATATTTTTTCTGATTTGTTCAATTAATTACCTTTTCAGTATATCGTACGCAATTGTTTGATAGATGATGGGAACACAAGTTCGCGGAAAAACAATATTCATGTGCACTTTACGCAATTGCCCATGAATAATTAGGCACGGATTCAATAAGCCGGAAGACGTTTCTAGACATGCAATAAAACTGAGGAAAAAAACAATTCAAAGATTTCCTCAGTAGCTGAAGAAGTGTTACGAAAACTCGATCGAAAAATTCGTGATCTGCGTCAGAAGCTTAAGGGTAGCTACCCGTAATGCGTGCCGGGGGATGCAAATTCGAACTAACTACCAGAATAATTTGGCCCGAACACGTTGCGCTTGTGATTTTGATTTACATTAATTTCATATTTTTCAGCATGAAACATGATCAATATTTAAATTTTTCATGCATGCCAGTCACAAACTCCAACATGAACATTATAGTCACGGTTACGCTGATAATGCATATATTTTCTCCCCATTTTCTTCACTAACGAGTTCATAAATGAGTTTCAGGATTTTTCAACTGCAAAAAATTGACCCTCCAAAACCGCAGAAAATTCCGTTTGCCAAAAATTATTGTTTTCACTTTTGTTGAATTCTCAACGGAAATATCGGAGTTTGATGGTTTGATTTGAGTTGCATTTTTTCAAAGCAACAATACTTAACTAAAAATCTGGATTTACAATTATTAGGCCATTGCCGATAGCAATTTGATCCCGATGTTTCGCCGCAGAAGCAAGCAATGATCTGAAAATTTGCAGTTTCTCACACAATCAATTCAAAAATCCACCGCTTCCTGACGCCTAAGAAGTTTAAATTTAAAAAGCACTTGAAAAATCCATTATTAGTGATACAAACGTTTCATCAAGTAGATTTTCATTTTCAAACGGTTTGAGTGAATTTCTCACAAATGCCCGCTCAAAACGTTGCCGTTGCTGATTGTTAAATGGCCAGTCGTTCTATCGTTTTCAGCTCGTTGGTTTCCTTATATGAAAAATATTAATATGCCACGAAAAGCGACTAATTTTAATACTCTGAAATGTCACGGGAACAAAAAAAAGTGGAAAATCGTACGACGGCCATTAGCATATTTATAAAGGGTTAATATGAGCCAAAGCAAAGATTTGCTACCCTTTATGTATTATATTTCGATACTGGGTCAACTCTAGAAGGCTATTTTGGAGCGGTAACATGTGAGAATTTATGCCAGCTAGTGGAATAAGAGTTTGTTTCAAAGGAACTATTTTCTGAAATTGTCTTCTTGTTTTCACAGCTTCTTAATTATTCTAATTCATTTTGTCTTGTTTCAGCTTCTTAAAAGACAATGCCCCATACTGGTAAGTGGCCACACTATTACCTCTCATACTGCTGCACTGTTTAGTTCAATTTTACTGCGTTTAGTAAGGGATTGAAATAAAAACTAGGAAAATTTGAAGAAATCGGTCTACGCAAAAAAATGGATTGACAAATAAACGTGAACATAATAATTATATTATTATTATAACATAACGTTTCGGCGAGACAACAGCGCCATCATCAGATTTAAAATTCATACAAACTCATAATTGGGAAACATTAGATTCTTTTAGATCTTTGCTGTCTTGAAACTTCAAATTTGTTCGAATTATTGTCTACATTTTACCGCAGGAAAATAAACAATATAAAAATTGTTATTCACACTTTGACTGAAATCCAGCAAGGAAAAGAATATAATAACAATTAAACGCAGTCAGGAAAATAAATGAAAAAAAAACATAAAACACTCAATGATAATGAAAGTAATTAAATGCTCAATATATCGTTGGCATACTTATGCAAAGTGGATGAAGCGTAGTTGAGAAATGGGGGAATCAGTCGAAGTAACACCATCATCAGACATCCCGCATCCGCCGGGCAAAAAGATTCATGTCATAAAATTACGATTAACTTTGCAGGTGTCATTAAATTCACCGCTCTATATTTAGTCGCGGTTAATGAAAAAGTCCCTGACTTTCCTCCGAACAATTTACGTAATTCGGAGATGAATTGAAACAATTTTTTTATGAAAAACAAAAAAGTTCGCAAATTTTCGAAAATAAAAGTTGCTTGAATCCGATCTAAATGCGGGTTTTCGGATTCAAACCACTTTTACTTTCGAAAATGACCGACGTTTCGACTCTTTATTCGTGTCTTTATCAGCGCTGTATTTGAGGTCAACGTGCGGGGATTTTGATGATTTTTTACCTCAACATAGTTTATAGAGTACATAGCTTGAATGAAGGAAAATATCGTCGGTTATCAATCATAACAGCCCAAAATCGATTTTAAATGAGGAGTATTGGAGCCTGTATCGGGCAGGCTTTATTCGCTTTAGAAGACAATAAATTTTCGCCTGTTTAAGGAACAACTTAATTGCTTTCAGGCCAAGCTGGAGTCAACCAACTAGGCGGAGTGTTTGTGAATGGACGGCCGCTACCCGACTGTGTAAGACGAAGAATAGTAGAATTGGCCCTTTTAGGAGTCCGGCCCTGTGATATATCCAGACAGCTGCTGGTATCGCACGGGTGCGTTTCGAAAATCTTAACTAGATTCTACGAAACTGGAAGCATCCGACCTGGGTCGATTGGCGGGTCAAAAACAAAGGTAAAAAATGCCAGAAAAACCCGATAAAAGCGCTTGAGATAGAATGTGAACCATATCGAAGCTGATGAGGTTTTTTGGGAAAAAATCACTGTTTCAAGCATAAACCGCAAAAACTTCAGTTTTTTGACTTGAAAATTGAACCAAACGTGAGAGAGTCGAGTGCAAAGTGCTTTTGTCCACAAGCGGCCAATCAAGCAGATAAGAAATCAAAAATATCCAAGGGCCTATAAATTTCCACAGGTCGTCGCTTTCGTGCGACACAGTTAATTATTAGATATTTCGGACCCTGAGAATGAAGGGACGCGATCATCCACTGATGTCGGTCGGATAAAGGCCGAAAAGGGTGGCAAAGCACCGGCTGATGGCCCTCCAACACGCTTTGTTCAATGTCGGTGTCCGGTAGTTGGCCCTATTTAACTGTCATGTCGTCTTATCTCGACCTACCGTTTATATCCGCCTCTTTAAGGGCATCTACAGGGGAATTACACGATAAAAATTGTTTTTACACGATTGCCCAAGCGTGTGAATTGCATGTTTTTGTCAATGTTGAAATATTCATCCTCCCTCCAATTCCATTGTTTTTCTTTCTCTTTATACCGGGCGATTGATTAACATTGGCCAGAGAGGTGATTTTTGAAATTAGGGCGTTGAAAACATTGGGAATTTGCCACTTCCTTGTTCGTTGTTCATGCTTTGGGGCCTGACATTTTCACTAAATTTAGACCGTCCTTGCCATTATTGCGCCGATTATCGATAACCAACATTGAAGCAAATTAAACTTAGAAGAAAAGAGTGCTGGTTTGGAAGCGATTAATCAAAAAGCCGGACACCAATTGAACCTTTTCCATGTAAAAGGAGCGTAAATGAGCGACCACGGTAAACACTTTAATGGCCTACGATGACAGCAAAAACAGTCCGGAATTACCATTACCGGATGATTGATTTTGCCGGACAATGTTTGTTCGGGTGGATGTTTATCTCAAATGTAGACAGAAGATCATGGCAGCGATAGTGTTGGTGCATGCACGAATATTACGTCTGCAAATGACCGCAAATACATGGTCATTTTTTCGGTGTTGCGACAATTTCATATCACGCATCAGGCCCACAAAATCCCTAATCTTCGAACTCTCTCCACAAAGGGCGGCTGCTTATTGCGAAACAATCCAGATAAAAACAAGTACCTAGGAAAACTCATTAGTCGCCAAACCGCTTGCTAATACGACCCATCCGAGTACTCAAGCCGGAACTTTATTGCCACTCGATTAGGCTGGGAAGTTATTATATTTACCGAATCAGAGCGACTGCTTGTTCTTTGATAAGTAGAAACTTTGACTAAAGCCGATTGTCGGAATAATGAACAGCGGTTTTAATGACAAAAATCCATAAAAATGATTAAATAGGTAGGAACCGATCTATATACCTACATATGGATACTGTCCTCTGAGCTAAGTTAACGCTAAGCAAAACTAATCTAAATAGATACAAAAGTGCCAAGAAAACATCAAGTACAAACAAGCCATAAATAAGTCGCAAATTTCAAGGCGAAAAAGGTGATGAAAAAGCTCTTAAACTCCACTAAAAAAAATCGTCAGTCAGGGTATTATTGATGAGGTGAACATATTATTAACTTCGAACGGGGCAAGGGCGGATGCAGGGGGGGCATGGGGGTCATGMCCCCCCCCCCATTCAATTCTCTATCCAACAATGCCAAAACGAATTCTCTGGCTCGAATAGTTCTTGAGAAACTTCGAAAAAACAGCGTCATGTTCAAGTGGATTTTGCAACTCAAAGAAAACCACGCAAATCTGAAACTTCTTGAATTTAAGCATTTTTTGAGAAAACTGCCAACATTTGCTTACCGATGGTTCACTTTCTAAAAAGGCCATTTATTTCTCTTTAGAATGATGTACAAATGAGCGTTCTTGCTCATTTTGCCTCCGAGAAATGAGCAAAATTGGCAATAATTTGGCATCTGTCAATTGGGACGAACCCGGCGTGATGACAGTTGTCAAAAGAAAAAGGTTCAATCACAAAAATCGGGTTTTTGTGAATAAACGCGCACTACCGATAAGGAAAATATCGCCGAACGGTGAAGGGATCCGTCTTTAATTGAAAAATCAGCAATTTTATCTGCAAAAGTTGACAAAAGTGCGCATTTTGGTAATTTTTACGGAGCGACTTACAAAYGATCGTGCCAATCGGCCATTAAACAATAAACTGACGGGAATGTGATGAAAATGTCATTATTGAAAGTTAGAAAAATATTTAATCAATAGCAAATAATGGCTTAAAACTAGAATAACTGTAAAAATCATTAAAATTGTCAAAAACAAAGCAATTGATAGATGCCCACTAAGCCAAACGCACCTGTATTTACCGGCGATTATTTATTTTAAGTAGTCGAGCAGCTTCCAAGCTGATTTTTGTAAATTGGGGCTTTTTAATCAAAGCCAAAAAAATCGCTTGCTCTGTATGTGTTGAAAGTGAAGAATCCCGGCTAGTTTCCAACGAGGCTCCTAATGGAGCAAAACAACAGCAACAAATTACAGTTTGTAAGTCCAAGCACGGAATTTCGAGACTCTAACCTCTAAGGGGTTCTTCACTTTGATTATACATTCATTGAAAAGTGTGCGTGAGTAAAAGCTGCAATTACCGCATTCACAAGGAGGAGCCGCCGCTCTTCCAAGCGGTATTCAGCACGTTTTTGCGCATTATATTCAGGTTCTGTTCAGCTCCAGTTAAAATGTTTCAGCAAGTCGCCACCCCAACAGTAGTAAAGAAAATCCTTCGCTTTAAGCAGGAAAATCCTGGAATGTTCGCCTGGGAAATCCGGGAACAGCTGATCTCCCAACGGGTTTGTGAGCCTCACAACATCCCCTCAGTCAGCTCCGTAAACCGGATTCTGAGGAACAGCGGAGTTTGGCCGGATCAGGATCTGATGCCCGCCCATTCCCGTCCGCCTCATGGGCCTGGTAATCTACTAACAACTAGCGAATTTTACTGAAACCCTTGACTCTCTGACCTTGCAGAAAGTCTCATCCGCTCGGATTTTTACTCCAAGTCTTCATCCTCCCTCAACGCGTCACTGCCATACTTCTCGCCTGCCCACGATAGTGGATACCATCAAAACAGCCGGCCCTTTTCCTTCCACCATCAACTTCACGTGGTGACGAATATCGACCAACCGCCCACCAGCTCTTCATGGTCTTCATCCTTCAACAGTTTGGTCATCCCTTATCAGCATTGCGCGGACTATTCGCCGGACTCCAGCGACGACCCCAAAGAGTCCAGTTTACCTGAAAGGGGCGCTAAGGAAGAACAGAAGAGAAACCCCTACTCGATAGAGGAAATACTGAAGAAACCTAGCAGGCAAATTAAGCCTCCTAGTCCGATTAGTTGCGCGAATTTCCATCAACCAGTAGGGGCGATAGTGACTATGGAGAATGCGGTTGTCGAGGACAGCAATGAAAGCTCTGAGGACAAAGAGGAGAAAATTGATGTAGAGTAAATTGCCTTTTTTGCGTCACTACTTGAACACCTCCGCAGATTCTTCAAAGCTCTTCTCATATTTATTGAATGCAAAACTTTACGTATTTCTTCCACTATTTATTTAAATTATTGCTTTCGCCCCGTTGTAAATATAGTCTTTAAGCAAACTGTGTTATAGCATAATTTAGGACAAGCGATACTTTTATATTCTACTCCCTAAAGGCGACTAAGTTTGCACTTTTAAGCATATGTATCAAAACGTGTTACTTGCAATTATGCAAAAACACCTTTAAATTAAAGCTGTGTTAAAATTCAACTCGCTAGAGGAAAAGAAAGGTTCTAAAGGTTGCCGACAACTTTATTGTGGAATACAAAAGTGTACAAAGTAAAAGTAGAAGTTTTACTATAAAATGCATTGTCGAAACATCCCAATAGTAAAAGTCCGATGAATCCGCAAAATGCTTGGAGATCTTAGTATTTACACACATTTTGGCATTGCTTTCTTAATTGAACTGAAAAATGGATTAAATTACAAATGAACATACATAAATTATACGTAAAACAAGCTCAAAACAATACAAAATTTGCGCTTGTAAAAGCAAAGGAACTCAATAGATGGTCGGTTAAGGTATTTAGCGAGATTTTCTTAATTATCACAGCACTTATTGAATCATTTCACGTTCGATCACTGGAAGCTTCCAGTTAGTTCTCTTGTGTTAACTCTTCAAGACGGATTTTCCGACAAACTGCCACTTTCTTCGTCACAATGTTCCACAATTTCAGCTGTCTGGAAGCAGAAGATGTCGATCAGTCCTCACTCGCTGGGATGAAGGGGAATGGTATTCTTCGCGCCGAACGGGCTTCGGTATTTAATGCCTGCTTCCTTGAAAATATCCACAGGGAAACCCAAATTGGCCAAATACAACTTCCCATTGTCGGAGGAATAGCTAAGGGGCAATACAGGGACTAAGGAAATCTTGGCCGATAAACCTAAAAAGGAAAATTACGGCTTGTGTTGCAAGATTGAAACCCCATGTTTACCCGGCGTGCCTGAAGGTGGGGGATCTAACACCAACACGGGGGCGGTGTTCTTATCGGCCCACTCGACTAAAAGTGAATTGCTCTTCGGCGAGTCCGAGTCATCACTCAACGCACAGATAATCAAGTCAGTGGTAGCCGGCAATTCAGGAACACTAGAAATTGTGCGATTCCTAGTTAACATATAAAGAGACAGTTCCTTCTTGATGGCCACAGCCTCTAAAAACGGACAGAAAACTATGGTGCGAACACCATGCGATGCCAATTGGCGGGCTGCGTTTATGCCAGCTGCTCCCTGCCTGTTATGAAAAAAAACCCGTGAAATTTCGCCTCAAAGGCGGTTTAAAAGCGTACTTATGTGGTCCGCATAGAACAACGACAGTCGGTATCTGGTGCTTGTTGTTGGGATTTAATCGATGGCCTCCTCCAAGTAGTTGAATGGCAATTTCGGCTGCAGCGGTCCCAAATAACTCTACCCTCTTGTCCCAAGTTAATCCTGCCTTTTCCGCAAAGTCAAACAGTTTTCTGCGGAGATTTCTGCAAATCACACCAATATAGACAATAAACTAGTTTGAGTGAGTTGAAGAATCACCTTGAAATGCATGGAATGATCAGTCCATCATCAGTCACATATTCTTGAATTTCAGCTAATGGCACGATGATTTGACGAATTGATGTTGGATGATTGGGCAACACATTCTCATCATGTCTACAAAATAGGGATTTTGTTCTCAAGATACGTGGTAATGTAATGGTAAAACGGCACTGTAAACAGCATACCTATATCTTGAGTTCCAATGAAGCTCACTTTAGGCAAGCAAAAGACGGCAAAATAATTAATTTTCGTTTAAAAAAAATCGTTCAACTAAGTTATAAAGATGCTGTGACTTGCCTATAATTTTTCCGATTTTCCACATTTCGCACCGCATCCGGTCTGCTCGAGTTGAGCTTCTCCCAAATGGCCTGTTTATCAAATAAGGCCAAATTCTTCTCAAAATCAAACTCCCCCTTAATTTTATGATCCAAAGGCGCTCCAAAGCACTCCTCGTCTTTCGACCCCTTGACCCATTGTTTTCCACCTACAAAACCACCATAAAACCGTGTCGACTAATGAAAATTTGCGCTATTGATCACCTTTGACTCCTTTTCTGATGGGCGTGTTCTTGTTATAGCTAAAGTTCAAACTATCCTCAGACTTCTTATTAGGCTCAATCTCAATGGGCTTGCTCCTACTAGGAACCCCATTTTGAGACTGTTTTGAACCCGACGCTTCTGATGTGCTATGGGACCGGCCTGCCCGCTTTGGAACTGGCTTAGCTATAGTAACTATGCTGTTTTCCTGCTCATCTTTGGCAGGCTTTTCAATAAACTTAATATCCACTATATCGACAGCCCTGTAAGCGTGAATTTACAATTGGCGTGTGGTTTTTGACAAAAACACTTGTTGAGCAATACCTGATCTGCACAGGTCCATCTGCACAAGGGAACCCATCGCAAAATGCCTTTTGGAGGGTGATTTTAGTAGAGGTGGCATCTGAGATCTCACCCTGATAGATTCCCAAATCGTCAGTGCATTTTATTGACACCATTTTTCCTACCCACTGTGCCATGTCTTTACAAATGTTTATGGCACAGATTTGCAAGAAACTTAAATGTACAAGTGGAGTGGCTTTTTGCAATTTACCTACTGCAAAAAACTGGCATACAATTCCAAGCCTGTAGCTGTGCAAAAGCACATACCTTTAATGCCACCTGAGCTGATAAAGCAGAATTGGGCCTTTGTAACTTTATTCAGGAAAATCCACAAACAGCAGTTTATACAATGCAAAACATGGAAATGTTGGAGACTGGAGCAATACAGCGCGGTCAGACTGAAGGAAATTTTGGCCTCGTTGCAAAGTAGATTGAGGTTGACCAAACCTTCATTAACTAAGCGAATTTTTAAAGCAACCAGACTGTTTTAAAGGGTTCCAACTGAGAGTTAAACTGCTTGCAAAACGCACTGACACTATAAACACGATTTTCATGACGTTGTTTTGGTGGTTAACTAATTTGACAGGGGACTTTTGCAGACAAATGTCAGCTCTATTGCCTAACTGCGCGAAATTTCTTGAGAACAACAGAATTAACCCACAGACTACAGACTATTATTATTAGATTAATGCTAATTCTTATGTACATTTTGCAACGGAAAATTTATTAAAAGCAGGAAATTAATTTTAGCGAAAATTAGTAAAGCTTCTGGTGCGTAATGTGGCAAATGCTCGCATTCGTACTCGCGAAAACTGTTTCGGAATATTCTAATGCCCAACTTGATAACACCCCGATTTTACGTCGAGCTGTGTTCACTTCAACTTTGACAACAAAGTAACTTCAAAACAGTAATTCTTAAGATAATCTTTAATATTTGAATTTAATCATTATAATCACTGCTTCGTAATAAGAGAAATTGTGGGGCACCAAACGTATTCAAAACACCCATATTGACTCTCAGCTAGACATAATCAGTTTGAAATGGATCCAAGTCATACCGATACACGTACAGGAGTTTCCAGCATGTGCACACATTCAGCAATAACTCAGGAGACTTTCGATAATGCTGTTAAGGAGAATAGGGAAGTGTTCGACCTCAACGAAAAAGACGCTCTAGAAGAGACGGTCCACCAATTTGAGTCACAGGTAAGGAAATATGTGACACTTTGTCATTTCGCATATTTCAAATCCTTTGTACCTATTCGCACTTTGGGTGCCCACAGGGAGTGAATCTAAGTGGGATCCTCGTAAAGCCAATGGCCTCGCAAGAACTCGGGGCCATTAAGACAGCCGTTGAGAAGCTGGTGCAACTGCAAAAGACCAAGGGAAGTCTAGAGACAGTCAATGAGACTTTGAAGGAAATAACTGCTGCATGTGATCAGGGAGTTCCACATAGAATTGCAGCAGGTACAAAATTAGCTGCAATGTTCCCTTGGACTCAATTTCTAGTAAACATCGAAATGTTTCAGGAAAAGCTGATGCCTATAGAGTGTTGCTCGATACTTACGAGACATTTAACGATAAAGATGCGAGAACCAATGTCTTAAAAGCCCTAATTGCCTTGATGACTAAACAGCCCGATTTGCTGGACGTCAGGGGAATCGAATTTATCATTAGCAACTTGAAAGATCAGCGCTCTGATCCCCAACTGCAACGACTGATACTGAAGTGGACCAAAGAGTCGTGTGTTAAGCACGAGACAAACAGGTAAAATTAGTAACATTGTTTGCCCTTGTTTGCCTATAATGTCCCCATGTAGGCAGCAAATCTTCGATTCGCATATAGTGGACATTCTCAAGGGCTTTCTAATCGAAAACACGCCTATAGAAGTAATTAGAGAAACACTGTCAGTGTGTAGGGCTCTAGTTCTGGATGACGATATTCGCGTGGAATTTGGGCGAGCCCATGAACATGCCAGAGTTATTGCCAGTGAAACCCTTTGCTCGATTATGACGCTTTTGAGCAGTGAGTGAACCCGAAACAAGAGCCCTAACAAATGTTTTCCAATTGAAATTGTAGAATACAGAGGCGAGGAGCAGCTTAACGTGGACATCATGTTAACACTGACTGCATTAATGGTGCGGGCTGAATTTTGCAAGAAAGTCTATGATGCGGGCGGAATTGACCTGATCAAGAATGTAATGGAGACGTTCGCCAATAGTGATGTATGTTCGACTGTTCCAGAGTAATTCAAATGGTAATTGGCAATTTTTATTTGCAGAAAATTATCAGACAGGGCTTTAAGTTGATCAAATCCTTAGCGGGGGATGACGAGTGTAAGGAACATTTGATCGTCAAGGGATACACTGAAGTGTTAAGGGACTCGATTCTTGCCAATATGGTACATTGCTGTGTACATTGTTTATTCAAAAGATTTCGATGGTTTTTTTTCAAGGAAAGTGCCGGTACCGTAACGGCAGGACTGGCCGCGATCGCAGCTATGACTTTACGAAGCCCACAAAACAGCAAAGCCCTATTTGATGCCGGAATTCCTGAAGTCATTGTCGCTGCAATGAAGCATCATTCTGAGCAAAAGGCTGTTCAGGTAAGTTTAATTCAAAACTGAAAATGCGCTCGTATGAAAGCAAGAAAACATTTTTTTGCAGAAAGCCGGTAGCTGGGCCATTAGGAACATGGTGTCTAGAAGCCAATACCAGTGCGCAAAATTCATCGATCTGGGAGCCGAGGAAGTTTTGCATCAGAATTTGGAGAAATTCAAAGATACCCAATACGACGTAAAAGCGGCCTTGCGAGATTTGGGCTGCAACCTGGTGTTCAAGGAGGAGTGGACTGGAAAAGGCGGCGCGTTGACTACCGGTAAAATACGCGAATAAAATATTAAAAGGCGTCTTGAAGGAGCACGATAACATATTCTAGACTTCGGCTTTTCTAATTGGGTTTTCGGTTAGAGATGGTTAATTAATTACTATTTACATTTTTTGATATATTCACTTTATCCGCTAATAAATTATTATCAATACCTGGCATGAGAGACCCTTTGCGCTTACGCAGTATACGAATGCTGTCGAATGATATGCACTTTATTATTTTTTCGTTTCCCCTTAAGTTACATAAAATAGGCCCAATGTTCCATAATTTAACACCCCTTGGTTCTTTCAACACACGGCATATCATCTTCGGCGGTAACGTACGGATCCGTGTCGGTTCTCAGTCCAAACGAATAGCCGGGTTTTTGAGGCAATTTGGGCAAGTAAATCGGGCCGGGAGTTTGAGATTTGCCTATCGGCGGGTATACTCTAGGCGACATGCTGTAGTCGGGCGACTTGCTCTTGTAAAGATCTGTTTTGGCGCTGTTATAGTTGGCTGGGCCGGGTGACCGCTGGTTGTCTAATAGTTTCTGTCTAAACGACCTGGAATTGGACAGTATCTTAGTAATTTTTGGTTCCCAGTTGTGCGCACTTGGTTCCTTACATGCTATAAGCTGCATTGGCATGTTTGTCGGGCACTTTAGGTCCCAATGTAGATGGCACTTCGTATTTGTCCGGCCCGGGAGTCACATAGGGCTTGAAGCCTGTATACCTGTAGGACATGGAGTAGGCGGGCGGTCTGGGTTCTTTCATTCGGGGCGCCCGTTCCGGGGCATAAGTGCCTGGGCCTGGAGTTTGGAAGGCAGCTGAAATAAATATCTTTATTAATTAACTTTTGTGTTTACGAGTTGTATATACTTTCCTGACTGTTTCAATTCCAAGCCAAAATTAATTCCTGGGTTTCAGTCATTTATTGTCATTATTTATCAATTAAAATACGTTTCGGTGTATTTTTCCACCATCATCAGTTTTTATGTGTAGCGTTGTTGCTGCTTTAAGCCTTGGCATGCATTT